GGTGTGTCAAATTTTGTTGACCATCCAAACTAGATTGAACATTGCTTATGAGTCAACTCGGTTCAAAAAAAGAGTTGTAAAGAACAAATTTCCATAAATTAAAACTAGGCTCTGATCAACAAACTAGACCGGGAATCGATTTCGATTCCATCTTCTCCTACAACGTCATTTGCGCCTTAGTTAGTCAATATGTGTCAACAGCTTCATGACATTAGATGGTGTTTGAGCATTTTTTAAGTTGTCCCACGGGCGATTAGAAAAGAGAAGTTTTTAAATAACAAGTTTTCATAAATCGAAATTGGCTCCTAGAATTCAAAACCAGGAATCGTTTCGAGTTCCTCTCTTCTTCCTAACAAGTCATTTTGTGCCTAGTTAGTCATGCTGTGTCAAGTTCATTGACATGGATGGCTGCATTTTGTAGGCATTTTAGCTGTGTGTCAACCGGATTTCGAAAGGAGAGTTTTTTTAAAAAACAAAGTTTTCATTAAATTAAAATTAGCGCCTAGATTTCAAAACCAAAATCCGTTTCCGAGTTCCATCTTCTCTACAAGCATTTGTGCCTAGTATAGTCCTTGTGTGTCAAGTTTTTGACACCGACGCGGTTAGCAATTAGTAGTCAACTGGTTCGGGAAAAAGATTTAACAACAACAAGGTTTATAAATGGAAATTAAGACTCTAGATTCAAAATCCGAACTCGGTTCCGAGTTTCGTCTTCTCTATAAAGTCATTTGTGCCTAGTTAGTCGTGATGTGTCATGTATTCGTTGAACATTGATGCGTTCTGAGATTTTAGTGTGCCAACCAGTTTCGAAAAAGAGTTTTCTAAAGAAAAAAGCTTTCCATTAAACGAAATTAGGCTCCTATATCAAAACCAAGGAATCGTTTTGAGTTTCCGTCCTTCTCGTACAAGTCATTGTGCCTAGTTTTAGTCATGTTATCAGTTTCATTCGAATCCAATGCGTCGTTTGAAACATTTTAATGTTCAACCGATTTCGAAAAAAGAGTTTCTAAAGAACAAACTTCTTCATAAAATGGTAAATTCCAAGGTCTAGATTCAAAAACTGGGAATCAGTTTCAAGTTCCTCTTCTTCTACAAGCATTTCTTTGACTAGTTAGTCGGTGCAATGGAAAATGTCAGAAATTGTTTACGCACAAATAAAACAGCAGATGAGACACACAAATTTGTACAAAAATTTAAGCACCTACTACCATTAGAGGTGTGCATTATTTTATACTTTTTGGTGAAACTTACAGAAGAGAATGAGGGGATAAGGGTAGAATTTTGGACAATGAATATTCATCTATACAAACTTTGAATTGTAATTTTTTTGATGAATTCAAATATTTAAGACTTCTTTCAATGATTATTACATGTTCATCATCATGTACTTTGTAAACTTAACAAGACAAACAATTGTGCTGTATCACTGAAAAGGGAAATGTAAACAATTACTACTTTGACAGTAAACCAAGTCCTGCTTCAGATAATATTGTACAAAATCTAGTTCCAAGACCATATTAGTACATTTCATATAAACTTACTCCTGTTTCAAAATATATTAAATTATAAAAGTATCTCTGAACCAAAATCAACTCTGCATATCAGTGGACTGAGCAATCAAGCACGAGGAAAAAACCTTGATATATCAAAAAAGGCAGCTGAAAAACAGAAAGCACATAAGCCTTCATTGGATAGCGTTAATCAAACTCTTGATGTGAAATAGTTGACTGACAAAGCTCAAAAACATAAATAAAGCAGCAAAATCATTACACCTAGCTTTACAATTTCTCATCATCACTTACACATAACACCTCAATCAAAACATAATATATATATATATATATATATCTTATATAAAGGCTTCAAATAGTGTGTTGAAACCTTACTTCTTATATCAGTGTCCTATATTTTTCTATTTAAAAAAAAATTAGAATGAGAAGAGTAGAGACCTTCACTTACGACCTTGAGTCTAATTAACTAAGACTCTAACCACATGAGTGACACCAAAACATGTAAATATGTTTTTAATACTTATTTAAATTGCGCACACATCACAGTGTGCCAACCGCCAGTATAAATATATATCAATAATCACATAAAAAAAATCCTGCAACGATATTTAAGTTTCAACACAACAACTTCCCTGTTTTGCTACTGTCTCTTCAGACACCATTCCTCAAATTAAATATTTTCTTTTAGCATTCCTAATCAGTGGAAGCTTGTTAAGGATCAACTGAAAACACAACGAGTTTGTATGACTAACTACTTTGCTACCAAATATAATCTTGTGGTAGCAAAACTACTACTTGGCTGCCAACATATAATCTTGTGGTAGCAAACTACTACTTGGCTGCCAACATATAATCTTATGGTAGCAATCTTACTAAAAACATAACATGTCCAAATCATTAGATGTTAAATATCATTGATTTTTTGACAATCAAATCACATTTATCCTCTTGTATTTTTTTAGTAAAATTTTTAGTAAGATTGTTAATATACCTAGAATTATTAACTTTTCTATGAATCTAAAATAAAATTTTAAAGTACTATTGAATGGTAATAACCCCTATCTTTTACTTTCCAAATGAAGTCATGAATTGTCAAATAAAGAGAGATGAGTTCAAATACAAATTTCATATGCAATGTTCTATAATATTACTACTACAAAAACAGATAAAGATCACACTTTTTTGTGGTGATGTATGTTATTTAACACACCTTTAAGTTTATCAAAGTGTGATCTTTGGGAGTGTGATTAAAAATGGTCATTTTAAAAACTATTTTAAGGTGCTTAATAACATTTAGAATCACACATTTTAAGTGTGATTAAAAACATTTATATCACAGCTTTTAAGTGTGATTAAAAATATTTAAATCACACATTTTAAGTGTGATCTTTGGAAAATGTGATTAAAAAGGGTCATTTTTTAATCACACTTTTTAAGTGTGATTAATAACATTTTAGATCACATCTTTTAAGTGTGATTAATAAACTAATAAATCTGTAATAAAAAAAGGATTCACATATTTGAAAAATAATCAATATTATTTTTGTATGCACATTTGAAGAATGTAATACACACTATATACTATATTTTGAATCATAACCACATATTGAATGAATAACGTCATATTATTTCATAAATGAAAATCAAATATTCAAAGATATAACAAAGAATTAAATAAAAAAAATTAACTGTGCTTACATATATTAAAAAATGAAAAAACTTAAAAAACAAGTTCTTTAATTCTTGGACCATATTTTGCATCTCTCCAAAAAATTTCTGACCTGAAAAATAAAAAACACAAATTAATCAGAAACCGCTGATGCATATGAATAAACTAAAAAGTTAATTCAGCAAACCAAAATAGGAACATTAATCAATTTCTGCTTGATCTAATCCTTTTGGAAGTAACTTCCTTGTTAACAATTAGATGCCATAGCAGCTCAGTGTCAATGACATTGTAATTAAGAGGTCACTAAATGAGCACAATATTTAAAAATGATAAATTCAATACAGCTTGTGTACGATTTTGTGAATATATTATATTATTACTGTTGAACCATATTCTAGGTACCCATAAATAAATAAATAAAAACTCAAGAATTTATCCTTTTTTTTTTGGGGGGAGGGGGGGAGTACATACATTGCAGTTACTATCACCACAGCAGAGTTTTGAGAAGCAGAGTTGCATTTATGAAAAGAATTCATCGGAGCTTCTAAATACACTTGCTTATTTTCTCTCTACACTCACTATAATGCATTGTAACTTGTATTATGAAGAAAAATTTGTGGATATAGGTGTAGAGATGAACATGCAGTGTGTGGTTGGTTTAGAAACTCCCAATTGCATCATTTAAAAGAGGTTATGTGTATACATATGTTGTTTTACAGCATTATCAAAAAAATTGTTTCTTTTGAAGTTACAACATTTTTTACATTTTGTTTTCCATAGCATTTAAAACAAGTACTCTGTTTTATGTAAAAAAATCATTTACAGCATTGTATGAGAATATCACCAATTATATTTATTTTCGAAAATGAATCCATTCTGTTTTGCAATCATCCAAGTCTGATTGGAGCTTTCTTTGCATGACACTATACTATGATGCATTTGGTTCTCTAGATGCCATGGAAATAGAAAAATCCATGGTATTTAATAATGCAATAAGAAGCTAAAATATAAAGCTGACCTGTGACCCACTGTCTCTCTGACCATATATCTCAAAATCATTCCTTCCTGCTCAAACAAAACCCAAGCCTTTCATTTAGTCCTAAAAGAGTACTAAAAAAAGTAATGAAAAAAGGGCAAAATTTACTTTACCCCATATGGTTTACTCCATGTGTTGTTTACGCTCAATGTTTAAAATAAGCATATAATTTACTTCATGTGTTCTCTCATTGTCTAGGTGATTTGCTGTATGATTGTTACACATGTGGCCCTAGATATGGCATGTGGGTAAAGAAAACTCTTGAGAAGTTGGGATGAAGATAGGTTTGATTTATGTATAATTTTTATTTTTGTTGTCATATATAATCATGAATTGCTAATAATAATGTGAAATTGAAGCTTTGGCCTTGAAATGCAATACCTCAGCTATGTCTTGTAAGATTTGAATGATCCTCAAAGCAATTGTAGAATCCAGGCCAGAGGTTGGTTCATCAAGAACAAAAGAGAAGGGTTGATTATAATCTCATTGCCAATATAGACACGCTTCCTCTCTCCTCCTGAACTCCCCGAACAAAAGAGCTACCGATCATAGTGTCTTGGCACCTGAGCACATTGATATTCCTCATTGATCAACTCATGAGAACAGGTATGATTCATTTGTGGTGGGCTGTTTTTTGCTATATCTGACTTTAGCTAACACATAATTCAAGATAATATCATAGCAGAAAAATGAGAATTTACCTCTCCAAGCCCAATTCGTCGATTACGTCTATGGGCTCGTTTTTCCTTTTCCTTTTGTCAATGTCTTGGAAGTCATAGGAGTGCTGCATATGTTAATGTTTCCCTCACTGTAAGGTGAGGAAAGAGCACGTCGTCTTGAGTCACGAATCCTATCCTGAAGTATATTTCATGTTATTCTAATGTGTGATTACCCTTATTTTTTCACATCACTTATCTTTTGTTCTTTTTTTTTAATGGTAATGTTCAGGCTATACTTTTATAACATTGAACATTCATATAGGTGAAAAATATTAAAACCAATTTCAATTAGGTAGGTTTTCGAGGAAATCTGTCTTAATCAGGCTAATATGATAAAAGTGGTGGAAAGCGAAGAAATGGTGGAAAAAAGTTAGAACTGCCTGAGTTTGTTTAGCATAAAAGTGGTGGAAGTTATAAGAAGGTAATTTTCTATCATCCCATGGTAGCATGGTAACTAAGTTTTAGTTCTACAAAAAAACACAGAAAAATACAAGAAAGTTTAAATTTGTTTATAAAATTTTTAAATTTCAATATCAGCGTGTTGAGTCGTGTCACGTATCCGTGTCCATACCATGCTTCTTAGTAGTTTAACTTTCTTTCCATTAGTTGTAGTGATGATGAATTTCTGTGAATATATATACAAAGGCCTATGAGAAAACTGTTATTGTGTATACTACAAATTGAAAGTGTTTTATTTTTCTTTATATGCATAAGCACATTACTACCTTACTCGGATTGCCTACTGCTGTGTATATGCATACCAATTTTCAAGTCTCATATATGTATATGCATACCAGTTTTCAAGTCTCATATATAGATTTTTTAGTAGTGAAATATTCCTTGTAACCAAAGATAGGAGTTTCAGTAAATTTCCTGAGAACCAAACACACATAAATACAGTGCTACTAGCTCTTTCATGTATATCTAGATTGTTACCTGCTCTTTAGGAACTTCGAATATGGCTGGTCATTATAAGTAATTGAACCTCCTGGTGTCGACCCTCTCACCCTCCAACGAGCAGACTTAGAAGTGTAGTCTTTCCACTCCCGAAGGCCCCATCAAGTTTTTTTTTTTTTTTTTTCGAAAATTCAACTTCCTCTGTACTTTGTGAGCATATCTTCAGTTTACCATCAGTTTATTATGGATTAGCTTAAAAACATAAACAAGCATTAGAAGCATAGATGATTTCACAAAAAACATGAGCAATGAACTGATAAATGGCAAAAAATCAACACTTATCCTAAAACCCGGTTTCAAGCAGTGGCAACTCTAGAAATATTGGTTAGGATAGTCATTGAAAAACTAGATTAGAATTTATGCGAAAGAAATCACACTTGTCATCCACTTTCAATAAATCTCCTAATTTAAACTTTTAAATCTAAAAAAATTAAAATATTGACACTATTATTCAACAAAAAGATATTAGATACATGGAGTATTACAATTGCTCTCAACAAGTTATAAGACTCATATCTAATTTTGAAGGAACTTAAGCCTTTTTTTAAAAAAAAATATATTTGTACCGTAATTCAACATAAGTTACATTTAATGAGAAATTTCGGGTATTATTATTTTTATGTAAGCATATTTTTTTTAGTCAACTGTTCATATTCAGAAATAAAGTGTATAAAACCTGCAATTTGGAATGGCCTACATCACATCAACTTAAATATATACGATACACTTCATTTATAGACTTTTTTCTGGTATCTACTTCTGACGAAGGTATTACTTTTAGAATTGAAAGACATTATGAGTAAGTGTTCATAGGTTGGAGTAGATGAGTTAGGAGTTCAAGATTTATGAGATTGCGAATTTGGGTATTCAAATTATGAGAAGTGTATTGATTAATACATAAATTAACTATATATATCCAAAGAAAAAATACCCTGTCTTTCTTGTGCAGATGCCACTGGTTTCAAATGCATATGAAATTCCATTATTTGAGTATGTTTGTCATAATTTGTTTAATATAATTCTCTTTTTCAATTATTTGCCAACATTTTTGTTTTTTTCTATCAATGGTGAGTTCATTCTAGAAGGAGGCTAGTTTGAGAAACAAAATTTTCACAAAAATGCCAAAAACAAAATTTCAGCACAGTAACATTCTAAAAATTGTAAAAACTTTTTGACATAATATACATGTTGAAAACAGCCCAACAACAAGAACTTCAAGACAATAGCTTTCTAAAAGAAAACACAGCACATGTAACCAAATATTCAGTAGATAATATAGGAAGAGTTATGAATCTTACTATCAAGATAGCTTGCAAGAGAGGTTGATAGATAGATATCTTCTGGTCTTGCCCAAGACATTGAGCAAAAAATTTTTCGGTATCTAAAAATCACCGAAAAATCTTCCAAAATCCAAGCAAATTGCATTGCAGCTCAGATTCTCTCTGGTACTTCTCTCCAGAAACAAAAAAAGAAGAGGAAAAAAAGAAAAAAAAAACCCTAAACACAGTAGATTGAAAATCCTCAACTCAACCCCAGACCTTTTGATTTCAAGATACAATAACTAAGCCCTAATTGATAACTAAACTTCGGTACCACAGTTCTTGAGATCTTGAAAAAAAGAAGCTAGCTTTGATGCAAAAGATTCTGACTTTGGTTTGTCTTCCGGATTAATGGTTTTGAAAAACCAAACCCGGATCCAATCGCATCGGAAGAATTTGAAGAGACAATCGGAGAAAAACAAATAGGATGGAAAGCCGAGAAAGGAAGAAAAATACGGGAAAAATTTGAGGGAATTGAATTGGATTGGATTGGATTGGAGAGACTAAAAACTAGGGTTTGGACTCCCATGAACTCGCGCCTCCGGAGGTATATATTGTCACTACTCCCTCCGTCCGCACTATTACTCTTTGATTGATGATAGATACAAAATATTATATTTGTATTATAAAATACTAGCATATCACTCGTGCTATGCACGGATTGTGTTTATAATTATTTATATATATGAATTGTGATTTTTAAATATTTTTTTTAATATCTCTTTTTTTCTTTTTTTATATTATATTAAAGTTTAATATTTTGATAATAATCATATGTGTTGGACTTTTCAAAGAATTAAATGTCTTTTTTTTAATTATATTTATTGAAGTTTAATATTTTGATAGTAATCATATGTGTTAGACTTTTCAAGAATTTTTTTTTATGCTGTTCTTAATGCATTAAAGTGTTATTATCTTGTCAAGGAATTAAATGTATTTTTTTTATTATATTATATTAAAGTTTAATATTTTGATAGTAATCATATGTGTTGGATTTTTCAAGAATTTTTTTTTTTATGCTTGTTCTTAATGCATTAAAGTGTTATATAGAGAGATAATAAATCATATGTGTTAGGACTTTTCAAGAATTCATATGTGTTGGATTTCAAAATTTTTTTTTTAGCTTGTTCTTAATGCATTAAAGTATTATTATGAGGTAAGACTTGGAAGTTGTGAGAAGTTAATAAATGCTAAGATTTTTTTTTTAATCAAAAAAATCAGGAAATATATTGGAGATTGGAGCTCCACAAGCTTGGGTTAAAAACCCCATTTTGCTATATATAGTGAGTGGGTTGACGGTGGTCGGTGTGGTGGGGTGGGTGGAGTGGGGATGACGGTGCGTGTGGTAGCGAGTGGTGGTGGTGTGTAGCGGGTGGTGGTGACAGGTGTTGTGGCGGTGGTTGCGAGTGGGTGGTGGTGTAGGTATGTGCGGGTGGTGATGTTGGGTAGGTGGGTGACGGTGGCGGGTGGTGGGTGTAGCGAGTGTGTAGGTGGTGGTGGTGGTGGTGGGTAACGGTGGTGGATGGTGGTGGGTGGTTGTGGCAGGTGGGTGGCGGATAGGGAGTGGTGGGGGTGTACTGTGTGTTGTGGGGTGAAGGTGGCAAGTGTGAGCGAATGGGTGGTGGTGGTGGGTGGTGGGTGTGGTGATGGGTGGATGGTAATGCTGGTGGGGTGGTGGTGGTGGTGGTGGTGGCTGGTGGTGCAGGTGTGGTAGATGGGTGCTAGTGGTGGTAGCGGGTAGGTGCGGGGCGGTGGATGGTAATGGCGGGTGCAGGTAGATGGCAGGTGAGTGGTGGTGGCGAGTGGGTGGTAGGCGGGTGGTGTGGCGAGTGGGTGGCAGTGGGTAATGGTGGTGGCAGGTGGTGAGTGATGGTGGGAGCTGGAGAGTGGTGGTGTGGTGGAGGTAGTGGGTGGGGGATGGTGGGGTGGTGACGGAAACGGTGGTGGAAAATGGTGGCGGGTAGTGTTGGTGGTAAAAAAAAAAAAAAAACTCAAAAACTCAAAACGAAAACACATTTTTTGAGTTTACATTTTTTGGCCAAATTTATAAACTGAGACCATGATTTATAAATCAAAAATTACAAAAAAGTTTTTATTTGAGTTTTAAAATTTTTGTAATATAAACAGAAAACTTGAAAACGTAAGTTACTGAAAACGAAATGGTTACCAAACAGGCTTCAGATGGTAAAAATGTCGTAAAATTAATAAATAATTAAATAAGTTACCAACATAAGAAATGACTTATCAAAAGATTCTTAGGCTATATATGGTTTGATTTTTAGAAAAAAAAATTAAAAATTAAAAATTAATTTGGTTAAGAAATAAAAACTAAAAAATAAATATCATTTTTACTTTTGGGCAGGTTATATACATATGTATGGCTGTTTCAATTTAATTTGTAAAAAATTATTTCTAACCACTCGAAAGATAAAAATTATTTAAAAATGATAATTATTTTTTATTTTTTATTTCTTAACCAAATTAATTTTTAATTTTTAATTTTTTTTTCTAAAAATCAAACCATACATAGCATAAGAATCTTTTGATAAGTCATTTCTTATGTTGGTAACTTATTTAATTATTTGTTAATTTTACGACATTTTTACCATCTGAAACCTGTTTGGTAATCATTTCGTTTTCAGTTTTCAATTTATATTTTCAAAAATTTTAAAAATTGTCATAAAAACTTATTTAATAATTTTTTTGATTTATAAATGGTTGTCTCAGCTTGTAAATTTCAGGAAAAAATGTAAATTCAAAAAATAAGTTTATGTTGGTTTTTAAATAGAAATTTAAAAATTTTACTAACAATTTTTTTTTCAATTAATTTTTTTTTTCAAATAATTTTTTTTCTAATTAATTTTTTTTCAATGAATTTTTTTTCCAACTAATACTAACCGAGGGGACAATTGGTATGCTACTTTAAACCTTAGGGTGGGGATTGTAATTTCTAAAATGTAAGGAGTGTCAATGTAATTTACCCAGTTAGGGAAAAATTAGTATTTAAAAAAATTAAATTGCTAAGGGAGGGAATCTGTAATGAAACTTTAAACCTCAGGAAGGGAGATGTAATTTCCAAAACGTGAAGGGGAAACTGTAATAAACATAAACCTTAGGGGGTGTCAGTGTAATTTACCATATATATATAATCACACTTAATTAGAAAGTGACATAAAAAATAAATATTATCACACTCAATCAGATTAAGGGTGATTAAAAATTTGGAAATTGTATATTTTATATAAAAATCAACAGCAATGATTTAGACCCCCTCAAATTTCAACCCCCATCACCCCCCACACACATGGCGGGTGGTGATTGGAGGAGAAGAAAAAAAATAAAAAGAAAAAGAAAAAGTGACCAATCAAAAAAGAAATGGGGTCAAAGGGGGTGGGAGAAAAGGAGGTCCCAATCTTTATTCAAAAATCAATTTGAAATATTTTATACAATCACAACTATTTAGGAAGTGTGATTATATATATAATCACACTTATTTAAAAAGTGAGATTAAAAAATAATAATGTATATATAATCACATTTTAATTACATTGTGTGATTAAAAAATATATCAATGATCACGCTTTAATTAGAATGTGTGATTAAAAAATATATAAATAATCACATTTTATTTAAAAAGTGTGATTAGAAAGTAATAGTGTATATATAATCACACTTTAATTAAAATGTGTGATTAAAAAATATATATAAATAATCACACTTTAATTAGAATGCGTGATTAAAATATATATATATAATCACACCTATTTAAAAAGTGTGATTAAAAAGTAGTAGTGTATATATAATCACACTTTAATTAGAATGTGTGATTAAAAAATATATAAATAATCACACTTTAATTAGAATATGTGATTAAAATATATATATAATCACATTTATTTAAAAAGTGTGATTAAAAAGTAATAGTGTATATATAATCACACTTTAATTAGAATGTGTGATTAAAAAAATATATAAATAATCACACTTTAATTAGAATATGTGATTAAAAAATATATATAATCACATTTATTTAAAAAGTGTGATTAAAAAGTAATAGTGTATATATAATCACACTTTAATTAAAATGTGTGATTAAAAAACTATATAAATAATCACACTTTAATTAGAATGTGTGATTAAAAAATATATATATAATCACACTTTTAATTAGAATATGTGATTAAAAAATATATATAATCACATTTATTTAAAAAGTGTGATTAAAAAGTAATAGTGTATATATAATCACACTTTAATTAGAAGGTGTGATTAAAAAATATATAAATAATCACACTTTAATTAGAATGTGTGGTTAAAATGATTAAAAAATATATATATAATCACACTTGCTTAAAATGTGTGATTAAAAAGTAGTAGTGTATATATTAATCACACTTAATTAGAAGGTGTGATTAAATAAAATAATAATATATATATATATATAATCACACTTAATGAAAAGTGACATAAAAAATAAATATTTTCACACTCAATCAAATTAAGTGTGATTAAAATATCAATCTAATATTTTTTTTATCACACTTTCCAATAAAAGTGAGATTTTTTTTTTGTCAAAATGTGATCTTTAACTATTTTTGTAGTAGTGTAAAGGACAAAAAAACAACAAAAATATGACAATTACCCCACACCACCAACCCACTCCCCCGCCCGCCCCCCCCCCTCAAAAAAAAAAAAAAAAAAAAAACCTAATAGTGCCAATCACTGGATTTTGCTTTTGTGTTTTTTGTTTGAGATGATCATTGAGCAGTATAATGTCACTCGATGAATCTATACTTAAAATAACCAAAAACAAGAAAACAAGGTAATAAAAGTTAGTAAAGTGAATCTATGTTC